TAGAAGGCTTACATGTGGCCTCCAGGCTGCAGGCTCTCTACCCCTGTATTAGACCATTAAGGGAAAGTGCTACATCCAGTAAAAGAAGGCACAAAAACATTGAGGATGGTCATTTTACAAAGTTGTTGAGTTGCTCTATCATTTAATTTTTTCTGACCCCACCCCTACTAGATTAGGGGGTTTTCACTCCTCTCCTGGACCAGGGTGTCAGAAGGAAGCCAGGGAGCCCAAAGACCAGGAAGGAACTAGGAAAGCAGCCGAGACTAATGTGTCAGCACCTTCCCAGCCTTGGAGAAACTTTATATCTGTAATCCCAACATCATCTGGCCCTGCCCAGGGCTTTTCACGTAGGTAGAAAGCTCAAGTGAGTAGCTGTTGACGAGTTCTGCACTGCAAAGAACTGCCTCATTTGAGTGATCACTGGGGGGGCAAGAGGGGGCACCCAACCACTCTTTGTAAATGCTTCCTTTTTCCCTAATAGGCCCACAATCCAGGCACTAGCAATTTTGTCTTTGTATCCCCAGTCTTATATATAGTAGGTACTTAATAAAGACTTGTTCAATTCAAATTAATTAAATGGTCAGAATCTAGCTCAAGCTGTTTCCTTCCCACTTACCAACGACCCAGGGCAGATGCCTCCTAGAGGCAGGAACCAGTGCATTGGGAAGGACAGAATTAAAGTTGGGCGGGAAGGAATTTCAATTTTCCACAAAAGTTTCTTCCCTCCTCAGTTTATTTCCTTATAAACCTGTAAACTTTCCTTCATCCTTTGCACATCTAGAAACTAGCAGCAACATATACAACTTATATCAAATTGCTTACTGTCTTAGGGTAGAGGGAGAGAGGGAGAAAATTTGGAACTCAAAATTTTATTTTAAAAAATATTTAAAATTGTCTTTAAAAAAAAGATTAAAAAATAGCAGCAGTTACAGGAAGAGGAAATAAGCTGCCGAGAGATGACAGTATTGCTCAAGTTCAAAGGGGAAATGAAAGTTACACACAGGTCTATGCACCAAGCCCAGGAAAATCTATGTTTGAGCCCACAAATTACTAGCTATGTGCACCTTAAGTAATTCCCTGAGCCTGCTTCCTCATCTATAAAATGGAAATAATACCTGATACAAAAGCACTTTACAAATTCTAACGGGATACAAATATATATAGAATTATTCTAATTATTTTAATTGACAAATTTATTGGGGTTTTTTAATTGACAAATTGTTGGGATTTCAAAAAGAAGCCCACCATGTGAGAGATAGTTACATAAGGCTTGCTTCCCTCTGTCTTCAGGTCAGAAAATCCTGGGGTCAGAGTGGGGCCCACAACTAACCAAAGACATGAAGAACTGGGAGAGAAGGCAAAAGAGAGGGAAAGATTCAGAAATGTGACTCAGAAAGAGCTGGGACATGCAGTCTTGAGGGGGGTAAAATAGTAAGCACTCTGGGAGTCGCCTCTCCCACAAGGCTTATCAAATGGAATACTTGAAATGCTCTTACCCACTCCTCCCCAGCCATCCTGATCCTATGAAATCTTCCCAGATAACTCCAGCCCTCTCTGTCCTATATTGTTCCAGAATCATCTGTTTACCCAAGCAGACTGTTCAGGTCCTCGGAGGCAGGGACAATTACGGCAAGGCCTTTTGCATCTCTACCCAGGGCCCTGCTGGGGTTGTTCACAGAGCAGGTTCTCTGAATTTGATACCTGCTTAATTGAATTGCCTGGGCCGAACAAATTAGAATGGCCCTTGTACTTTCACCTCACTAGAAAGAAACTGGGATAAACCCAAAAGAAGTTGGGCTGGGTCCAAATAAGGATTTTTCATAAAAATAGAAAGCAAGGTGACCTCCACTTATCACTATTACATTTTTGCTCTGAGATTTTTCAGCTGTGCCATCCCTGGGACTCTAGGCTGGGCAGGGGGCCTGATGCTAGGAGATGCTAGGAGGCTGGGCCCCTACTGCAAAGGTAACATTTTGGGTACTTGTCTAGAGGCAGGGGGAAAGAAGAAATTATCTTAGAAGTGTGTGAGTAGCTTAAAGTAGTTTTTTGAGTAGAGGTAAGGATGAGAGAAACTCTTCTTCTCCAATTCTACCCTACCCCCAAGGCCCAAATGAATCTCTCTTCCTTTAAGAAGCCTTCCTTTTGGGGCAGCTAGGTGGTGCAGTGGATACAGCACCGGCCCTGGAGTCAGGAGGACCTGAGTTCAAATGCGACCTCAGACACCTAACACTCACTAGCTGTGTGACTCTGGGCAAGTCCCTTAACCCCCATTGCCTTAAAAAAAGAAAAAAAAGGAAGCCTTTCCCCCCAAGTTCAGGCCTAGGTGACATTAAGAAGACTTATGCTGTTATTGTTTAGTCGTGTCTGAGTCCATGTGACCCCATGGAATAGTCTGTCATTTCCTTCTCCAGTATGTTAAGGGATCCCCTGAACTTGTCTTTTTGAGTTGCCCCTTTTTCCAGAAACAATGGACCCAGTGTCCCCATTTTACAGATGAGGAACAGAGGCAAATAGGGGTTAAATGACTTGCCCAGGGTTACATAGCTAGTAAGTGTCTGAGGCCAGATTTGAACTCAGATCTTCCTGACTCCAAGCCTGGCCCTCTATCCACTGGGCCACCTAACTGCTTCAAACAAGGTCTGGCTGACCCTTTGTCAGGAATGCCACAGGGATTATTCTGGAGCCAGTACGGGTCAGACTAAATGACCTTATGGGTTCTTTCTGATTCTAAGATTCCACAATTCTAATGAGGGTTCACTTAGTACAATTCTGTAGCTGTTGTACAACTATGGGAAAGTCCTTAAGCCTCTCTAAGCCTCAGTTTCCTCATAATAACACAAATGTTACTAGAGTACTTAAAGGTAAGCATCAGCAGGGCTCACCTCACAAAGATTATGAAGAAAAATTTACTCTTAATGTAAAGCTTCCAAGTTACCATGATTACAGGAATGTCAGATGGTGCTATATTCACCCAGGGCTGCCTAGCTAGCGTGATTTGAAGGGTATCCTGTTAATTCTCTAAAAGAAAAAAATCTCCATTAAAATATGTTTTGCAGGATTGTACATGTATAACCTATATCAAATTGCTTACCATCTAGGGGAGAGCAGAAGGGAGGGAGAGAGGAAGAGAATTTGAGGCTCAACATTTTAAAAATGAATGTTAAAAATTGTTTTTACATGTAATCAGGAAAAAACAAAATATTGTTCCAAAAAATCTCCATTAGTAATGGCAGCTACTGGGACTTCCTCCTACCTGTGTGACCTTGAACAAAACACTCCAACTTCCGGGGCCAAACCCTTGAGAAAACTGAGGTCCAAATGGACAGTAGTTTGCCTGAAGGTCACACAGATAACGAGTAGCAGAAACTAGAAGAAGAAATAGACCTTAGAAACCATCAAGAAAAACTTCCTTCCACAGATGAGAGAGCTTAAAGCCCGTATTAGGGAAGGGATTTAGGACTATAGGAAGCCAGAGCCAGAAGGATGAATGCTTAGGGACCTTCAGGGATGGGGAACCTATGGCCTCGAGGCCTTGGTTCCTCACCCCTATAAAAATCTAAGACCAACCTGCTCACTGTACAGATGAAGAAACAGGGACCCAGAGAAGGGAAGCTGTTTGCCCAAGGTCACATGGATAGGACATTCTTAGCATCATATGCTAATGGGTCTAAACCCTGGCAGGACCTCAGAAGTTATCCCAATCCTTTCATTTTACAGATGAGAAAACTGAGGCCAAAGGAGTGACTTGCTCAACGTCACACAAGTAAGAAGAAGCAAAGCCTAGAAAGAAAGATATTTATCTCCCTCACCTGGGCAAAGAGAGCTAACTAGAGGGATCTGAGGACCTCAAAGGCCTAGACAGGAATGACAATATCAAAGGCTGATACAAGGGATTCAGGCCTATAAATAAAAACTCAGAGAAGATTCTTCAAGCTCAGCCGGTGTACCATGACCCTTCTCACATTTCTTTACAAAACCGAAAACTCCAGCAAATTCCTGGTACGAATGACCTCATCTGATCTATTCCTTCTTTGAGAGGAGAGAATTCTAAACAAGTGAACCCTGGGGACCTCACGATATTAAAATCAGGGAAAGCAGGGTTCAGGAAAACAAGGATGGGGGCAGTTAGGTGGTGCAGTGGATAGAGTACCGGCCCTGTATTCAGGAGGACCCAAGTTCAAATCCTGGCCTCAGACACTTGACACTTACTAGCTGTGTGACCCTGGGCAAGTCACTTAATCCCATTGCCCAGCCAAAAAAAAAAAAAGAATGGCTGAGGAAAGCAACATACAAGGAGGTTCATAGAGTTTACAGTCTCGTGTCCATACTAGAGACTCAGTTATAGAATCATAGATTTAGAGTTGGAAGGAGGCATCAAGCCCAACCTCATCTTTTTACAGATGAAGGAAGAAAGAGGTATGCCAAGGTTAAGTGTTTTGCCCAGGGTCACACAGCTAGTAAGTGTCAAGTGTCTGAGGCTAGATTTGAAACCAAGTCTTCCTGACTCCAAGAGCAGGACCCAATCACAAAGCTGCCTCTCATAGATTTAGAACTGGAAGGGACATTGGGGGCCATGCAGTCCAGCTCCCTCACTTTCTGAATGAAGAACTGAGGCCTAAAGAGCTTGAGGGATTTGTCCAAATCACACAGGGAGCAGAGAAAGAATCTGACCCCAGGTCCTCTCCATTCAAGTTCAGCATTCTTTGTACGGCATCACAGTGGAGTAGAGACATCTCAAAATGTTCTTTCATTGATCTACTGGTATATGAAATTAAAATCTTACATATATACATACATTTTTTAAAAAGCTTCAATTCTAGGTTAGAAATAGAATGAGGATAGAGCTAAGTAGCCCCTCCCGATCCTTAGTTCATTACTGGTCATACTAGTCATGACCCTCATCAAGAGTTCCTGACTCAGGAAGTAGTTTCATCTCACCCACCCCCTCAGCAAAAACAAAAACAAAGCGTTCCCAACCCCCTCCCTTGCCAGATCCTTACCAGGTTCAACAGAGAGTGAGGCATTGCAGCTGGCTTGGCCCAGCTCGTTGGTGGCGGTGATGGTGTAGTGGCCAGCATCAGCTAAGTGGGCTTCCTGCAGCAACAGAGTGTGCCGCTCCCCTTCAGCCCGGATGAGGACCCGCTCACTGTTCTGGAGGGCTGCGCCATCTTTTTGCCAAGACACTGCAAGGAAAGCATCAGGAACAGGTTACTCTGGGACCCTGAGTCCTCCTTGTTGCTTCTCCCAGAGGTCCCTAGAGGGAGCAGGACAAAGCAGGAAAACATCCCTCACCAAGAGCTGTTGGCTCCTCTCCTCTCCTCTCCCTCCCCACTCACGCATCCCAGACCCCCATTCCAGTGCTTACCTTGGGCTGGGGGGTTGGCTGTGACAATACATTTGAGCATCGTGTCGAACCCTGGAGCCACCACCACACTCTGCAACGGTATCTCAAAGACAGGCGCTTCTAAGGGCTCCTCTCCAGCTGAGACATAGGAGTCATCCGAGGACTCTGGGGACACAGAAGAGTTCACAGACTCAACAAAGACGTACAAAGCATTGGCTGTATCTGCTACATTGTACTGTACAGGATGTCAAGGGGGGATACAAGGTATCTATCACCTACAGTCCCTGTCCTCAAGAAGTCTACAGCCTAGTTAGGGAGAAAAGACATGAACACATGAAAAATTAAAAACAGTTACAAGGGTTTGACAAGAGAACAACATAAGAGGTGTCACAGGGCCGCCAAACAAGAGGTGTAGACAGGCAGTGCCCTGGTTGATTCAGCAGAGCCCTGAAGGAACTACATGGAAGCAGAGGGGGAAGGTCCTTTCAGACTGAGAATGACATATCTCCCCAACAGCCTTACTCATTATTGGCCTCAATAAATACTCAGTGACTGCTTCAACTAACTACAATCTCTTCTTTTTTATCTCATGGACTCTGGGCCCCAGGATTTAAACAGTGGCACCCCAGCAAACCCCCAAACCATAGCCAGTGGCCTCAGGGTATTTCATCAAACATAACTTAGCAGACATAGAGAAGAGGTGGGAATCCCAATGGTCTGCCGCTTGTCTTTTGCCCACTTCTCATCTCCCACCCCCACCAGAAAATCACTTCTAGCTGGGGGAGACACAGACGTAGGGATGGTGGATGGGAGAGAAACAGGAGATTCTACCAGATCTGAAGAAAATGAAGAAAGAGCTGGTGTATATGCCCTGCTCTTTCTTAGCCTCACCAGCTCTAGGCCAGTAGCTAGCATTGGCACAAAACCCCACAAAACATTCCACTAGGAGGGGTCTACTTTCTAAGCCATTTAACCCCGAAAGGCTGTAGTTTGCCTTCCCTGACAAATTGCCTTGCTTGGAAAATTCGTCAAGAGGCTAAAAGAGAATCCCTGTCTGAAAATTCTCCCCAGTCTCCCATGCTCCCTGTCCCCTGTGGGACTGTACCAAGGTCAGGTGAGGTAGGCCGTATCCGATGATGACCTTTGCCCTTGCTACGGGGCACTCGCCGATCCCAGGCCCCCCAGGGTCCATCCTCCTCTGGGCCTCTTCGTAATCTCTTCTCTGCTTCAGGCCCAGGCTGGTTCTTTTCCAGGTTTGGGGGGATGGCAGTCCCCTCTGGCTCAGGCACGGCCCAGGGTAAGAAGCGTACAGCTTGCATGGGGGGATCCCTCTTCCGACCTAGATGTGCTTTTGTCCTGGGCTCAGGTGGTTCAGGGCTCCTGGATTCCTGAATAGCCCTCCCCCGAGTAAGTGGGAACTGTTCTCTCCGACGAACCTCCTGCTGGTGGCCTTCACCAAGTTCTGTCCTGCCTCCCAGCCCTCGGCCTCTGGCCACACTGGACCCCTTTCCTGCTGCCTCCTCTCCAACTTTCCCCACGCTGCTCAGGGCCAGCTGCTGGATGGTGGAGGTGCTCTCTGGTGGGGGAGTCTTTGGGGTAGAGGGGCTAGAGAAGAGGGGAGGCTCCGCTGGGTCCCGGGGAGATGGAGCCCTCTGTAATGTGAACCGCAGAGACTCATGAGATCGAACTAATTCTTCCCTGGAGGCTGAGCGGCGGATGCGCCCCAGCTCCTGGGCAAAGCGGAGCTCGAGGTCAGAGGCCGGGCTGGGGCTACGCTGCCGGACACGCTCATCCAACGAGGCCGCCTTCTGCCGAAACGCCCAGCGCCTTTCTGCCACAGTGCCTAGCTCGCCTCGTAACTCTTCCCTTGAGGTCCCCGGTGTGTCCCACTGTCCGCCTTCGGCCTTTGGCTGATCCAGGGACCGTGCCTTCCGCAAGGGAACCCATGCCCTCAGAGGAATCGGGGAATCACTCTTCTCCAGGCTGCGCCGACGCTCCTCAAAGAATTGCAGCTTATCTAAGATCCGGGAGCCAGCTCGCACCAACCTCGGGGAGCAGCGCACGCCAGAAAGGCGGCCTGAAGCTTCACTCAGAGGTGTCTGGGAGCGAGACTCCAGGGTGCCCGCCAGCGAGGGCCCTGATGACTTGGGCTTCTTCCCCCTCTTCTCTTCCAACTCTTCCAGTGGGCCTGGCTCCTGAGGCTTCCTAAGGGGCAAGGTGGGGGTGGCAGGGGGCTGTGTACCAGGCCCAGGAGGCGGCCGTTTCCCCACCCTTGGGGAGGGTGGCGGGAGCAGAGCTGATTTGGAAGGAGGTGGTTGGGCAGGCCGTCTTGGAGCTTCACTGGCAGTCTGGGGCTGAGGGTCGGGGTCTTCTCTTCGAAGCCCACCCTGTGGCACACTGCTGCAAATCAAGTCAGAAAGAGTGAGCTGGCGTTAGGGATGAGGCTTCCACACACAGATTCTGGGAAAGCTGCACAGGGCAGGAGCCCAAAGGGAAGGAAGATGGGACATCCTAGGGTTGAACAACCACCGGGACCCCATAGAGTGCTGTGTGCAGGCTGCAGCCAGAGCTGGAACTTGGGCCTAGGAGGGGTCCTTGGGAGACAGAGGCTGGCTCTGAGTATTAGGGACCAAGCTGGAGGAAGAAAGGTATAAACTCCAGACACAAAAAACATTTGGCCCCAGTAATCCTGGCCAGCCTTCTCTCCCCAGCCACCAAAGCTGGCAAGCAGCAGAGACAGAACTGAACAAGAGGGAAAGAAAAGAATGAGGCTGAGGATCTGAAGAATGAAGTGAGGGAGGGAAAGGAGAGAAGGAAGCTGAGCTTAATGAAAGATCTGAAGAGAATGCAACCCTTTCAGACCTGCCACCAGGCACTTCCATTTTCAACCATGATGTTCTCCCCTCCACTGCAGCTCCTAAGAGGAGTGGTATCTCCTTGTCTTAGCCTCACTAACCCCAGTCATAATCCTTTCAGAGAAATGGATCAATAGCCACTCAGCTCTCGGGGGCAGTGCACACAGCTGGCATGGGTGTTCCCAGGGGCCCATCCCCAAGCACTCAAGGACTTTGGAATTTGCATTTGTCATCCTTTGGACCCTCAGAATCTCAAGCTCCTACCATAGGTAGAAATTCGTTGCCAATATGGGGTGATACCTACATGGGTTTATTCTAGCTAAATACAATTAACCTTTAGTCTCTTGGAGTCCCCCCACCACATATTCAAGAATCTCCCGAATGGAAATGAGTTTAGAAATTATCTATTGAAAGAAGCTAAGGGAATGACTAGGAAAGGACTGGCCAAGACCTCTGGCCCACAGGACCTTGGTGGCTCAAGGTCTTAGATTTCCAACTGTCACATCTCAGGCCTCCACTGGACTTGAAGTCACCCACATCAGCCCTTTGGGGTCTCTGTTAAAACACTACCCGATCTCTAGGGTAAAGAAAATTGCAAAAGAAGAAGCCAGAGCATCTTTTGGGGGCCATCCTTCCTAGGTCATATCACTCCCAATCCAGGGCCATTACAGGGCCACACACAAAGTAGGAATCTCAATACATATGGCAGTCTAACTGCCTGACCCCTGTGTGCTAGTGCCAAGGCTCTGATGGAGGGGTGAGTACAATGATGGAGTCATGGTGGGGGGGGGGGGTTACAAGGTACCTTGAGGGAAACAAAACTAGAAATAACATCAACGGGAATACAGAGCATTCTGGGAAGAAGATGAGGGAAGGCTGTTTCTCTCAGAGAAGGATGTATTTATGAGGTAGGGAATCCCATTGAGTTATCCCAGGAAATGGAAGTTGGCATGGAGAGGCAAGTGGCCAGAGTTGAGAAGACCCTTTTACTGGCAACTCCGCTCCAGGCCCACCTCCAGGCTGGTCTCTGTGCCACAGATATCACTAAGGAAATGGGTGCCTGGGAGGTTGCCATGGCAACTCCAGGCTCTGGCTGGGGCCTTGTTGGAGGAGGAGGCCACAGGAGCCGCATGTCTGAGCAGAAGGGTCACCCAGCTAATGCTATTAGGACAAGTCTCCCCTAAATCAGAAAGGTCCCCCCACCACCTCATCCCTTTCCCACCAACCACCTCACCCATCTCCAAAACAGCCCTCCTGCCCTTTCCCTTGCCATCAACAACCACTCTCCCCCCTCATCCTCCCAACCCACCCCTAGATCCAAACAAAAAACCTTCTCTATTACTAGTTGCCCCCCTACCCATCTCCTAAAATGCTACTCCCCCCCATCCCAGCACCAGCCACTCCCCGGCACCCTCCACAGTACCTCCACTATGTCACTCTATGCTCCTTTCCCAGAATAGCTTCCCATACCAGGCCACCCCACCCCAGCCCCTCCCTGTCCTTTCCTTCAAGAACAGCCCCATGCCAATGCTTCTTCACCCCCAGGCCATGCCGTTCCCCAAAAGAAGGGAGAACCTTCCTTTCACCTCACCTTACTGAACCTGCCTCTTCTGCTCTCCCACACCCCACCCAGACTTCCCCTTTCCCACCCTTCCCCTGCTTCCTGACTTCCTCTCTCCATTTGCCCCTCCTGCCCTCCCTCCTTCCCCTTCTGTCTGCCCTACCACCTCGCTCTCTTCTCTTTCCCAGCAGCTCTCTTGCTCTCTTTCCTTTCTCTCTCCCACTCTCCTGGGAACTGCAGTGCTGAGAGGTTCTGTTTCTCACAGAAAAGGGCCAAATGGGAACAGGGATATGAAGGGAAAGTGGAAAAAAAAAAAAGCAGCATCTGCTAAGACAGCAGGAGCGGAGGGGGCCAAGGGGGGGGGAGGAAGAGGGGAGGAGACACTGAGAATGATGTGGGAGCTCAGATGGGGGAGGGGGCATGGGGATCCTGAGGGCCATGGAGATGAAGGGGAGGGAGAGAGGAGAGGATGGAGGAATCCAAAAGGCAATGGGGGCATAAAGATGAGGCCAGGGCAGATGGGAGCAGAAGGGGTTTGAAGAATAAGAGACAAAGAGAAAGACATGGTGTGGTGGGATGGGGCAAAAATTGTGTAGATGGGGGTGTGGATGAGGGGGAGGTAGGTCAATGGAGGGGAAATGGGTCAGTCACAGAAAGATGGAGCAGTGAGGGAGAAAATGGGCCAGTGACAGAGGGGTGACGCAGGGGAGTGTGGAGAAGTGGAGATGCAGCAGGGCCGACCAAGGCCATTACTTACACATGTATGGAGAGAGCTCGTCCTCTGTACAGGCTGAACGCGCTGCCGTACAGGTCACTGGCCACCGAAAGGCTATCCTCTGACCCCCAGCTTGTGCCCACCAGATTAGCACGAGATGCCCGCACCAGCGGCTCCACCCCCAGGTGCCGCGGCCCGGCCCCGGCCCCGGCTGCCTGTGCTTGCCTTGGGCTGCCTGGGAGCCGGCGGGAACTACCGCCACCACCGCTGCCACCCGCCTCCTGCTCCAACACCGTCTGCCCGCTGCCCCACCAGCTCGCCTGCTCCTCAGAGGTACCCGTCACGGAGGTCGGAGGGGTGTCAAGGGAGGAGCCCACCAGGGTATCTGAACCCCCTAGGGAGAGGAAAAGTAATGAGCTCAGAGGCTACAAGGATACAACCCTCTTTTCTTTCAGCCCCAGGCCTCTAAGGAAGACAAACCTGTGGGAGTGCTGAAGGCCCCATCATCTCGTAGTTCCAAGCGCTGTGTCCCTTGAGCATCACTGATATCATCTTCACCGGTCTCCGAGTCTAGAGAAGAAGGGACCCTCATGGACAAAGCCTCTACCTTCCACCCAAAGCCACCACCTCCTCGGCTTTTTCTGGAATGCTTCTCTTTTCCTGACCCTGAACCCGGCGTGATTCCATTGCATCATCAGCTAGGCCTCCTCACCTTCTCCTCCATTTCCGTTCCCAAAGTCCTCCCCATCGTCCCTCTGGGCTCCTAGTTCCTCCTTACCCCTGCCACCCACACCACCTCCACGGAGTCCTTTTGACAGCACTGGGCTTGCTCCCAGCTACCTAAAGATCTCCACTATGCCCCTGCCTGCTATTCTCCAGCTCCCTCTCTGTAGCGCCGTCACGGTCCCAGGTTTTAAGGAGCTCAGGTCCAGGAGCAGAAGGGAACATCAGCCCAAAGGAAAATGGCAGTCGCTGTCACACCTCACTCTCCCCGACTCACGGGGCCAGCCCCATCCTCCACCCCAGACCAGCAAACGGCGCAGGGGCCAGGCCCTGAGGCCGGGAACCCTCAGGAGGGACCGAGGAGCAGAAGGGCAGGGCAGGGATCCGTTTCCTACCGTAACTTTGCTTTCTGCAGGAGCGGAAAACTTCGCTTCCATAGGAGCAGCAGGAGAGAGACATCGACAGACTGTTATCAGAGCGTCTGCGGGGCAGGGCATGATGGGGCGGATGGGGTACAGGGGGAAATTGGGCTTCCCAGTTCCCAGAGATGGTCTGCAGGGACTGAGTGGGGGAACCCGGGGGCAGAGCCCCACGCTGCTGACAACTAGTTTCTTCTCTCCCTGGATTTTTCTAAAGGTTCCTATCATACATAGAATAATTAAGTCCAGGTATGTAAGGTTGGCTTTTTTTTTTCTCCCCACCAACCCCTTCCTCCTCAATTATACTCTGCCCTTGTGGCCTATACAGACATACCCCAGCGCTCACACTTGCAAGCTGGAACAACTAGGTGCATGTACACACACACACACACACACACACACACATGCACTCATTGCCACACCAAACACATTGTGTAGGCGACCACATCCAAGTCACTGGTCTGGGGCCCTTCAAATCCATGAAAACACCATCATTCAATATCTGGAATGCTTACTCTCAAATTTTTCTCTTCTCTCTGTCTCTCTCTGTGTCTCTCTATTTCTCTCTGTCTCTGTCTCTGTCTATCTCTCTGTCTGTCTCTCTCTCACATACACACACACACACACACACACACAAAATCTTCCCCCTAAAAAGTCCAGTAGTTATATTTAAAGCCAGAACTCCTGGGTTTTTTTCCAAGTTCCCCCAAATCCTGTTGAATTCTGAGCCCATTCACTCCTCTTTGCCTCAGTTTCTCCATCTTTGCAATGGGAAAGTAAATCCCATTTAGAATTTACCAAAGTGAGGGTGTCTACCTTTCCACATCTACAACCATGAGTGGGACAAGGAGCCAAACAGAAGTCCCAGAGATGAGGAACAGAAGGCCTAGGCCCTTTCTTTGGACTTGATTCTAGTCCTTCCTGACTCCTGTCCCTCTCTTGGCTGTATACATTCAAGTCAATGGGTTATGCCAAATCCCAAGGGGTTACTAAGAGTGGTAAGGCGTCATCATGGCTCTGACCCCTTATCCAGTAGTCTGGGGAGAATCTAGCCAAGTGAGCCTGGGGAGGGTACCATTGGGAAGAGGGGTATAAAGAAGGGACAGCCACAGTCCCACGCACCATGGGTGAATCGACCAAAGGCCCGCCTCGAGTGGCCAGTTTTCTGAAAAAGAAAAATCAAATTGATCTGTTATGGGAATTCACCCCAATTTAACAACATTCCTAATCCCAGAGACCTGTGGCATGGGAGCACAGGGAAGTAAGGGCAATATACAATACTAACAGCATTTTGGGGAAGGGATTCTTTGTTGGAAACCCAATGACCAATCTTTCCCCAGAGGGATCCCCACTGGGTTTTCTGGGATCCCTACACCTACAACAGCCCTACTACTAAGCATCTGGCCCTCCCTGATCTCAGAGCACCAAGATTGTATACATATTTATGCCAGCCAAGAAAAAACGGTGATCAATGTCACACTTTCCTAGGGGAGGGGAGGAGGAGCATTCACGGGATAGACCTCTGATCAGTGTCCAGGCTTTGGACATCCAGGAACCTTAGGCCCAGGAACATGGAGAACCTCAACATAAAGTGGTAGGACGAGGGGAAACAGGGAGACCTTGGAGGACTCTGAGGGCCAGAGATGTGGGAGGGCATGGAGCACATGGAGAAGGGAATGAGTGAAAGAAGGGACTATTCTGGAAAGCAAAGCAAAAGGAGAGAGAAGAGCATGGGGAATGGAAAGTTCTACATAAGAAGGCTCTACATGGTATAGGACCATGGGGAGATACAAGGCCATAGAAATAGAGTGCTGAGGAGAGGGCCTAGAGACTGGAATATATGGGAAGGTACCAGTGGAGGGGACATATGGGTCAGGGACATAGGTGGGGACATCAGACATAATAGGTGACAAGATATGGGAATCTCAGAAATAGAATGTGGGGGCAGGAGAAGATGCAGGGTCACCCGGGACAAGGAGGATGTTAACATGGAGATGGAGTTCCTTCTGGGCATTTCTTAGCTAGGGAGAGCAAAGTCAGCATTTAAAAATCCAGTAAAACAGGAGATCATAAAGGTGGATGGAATCACCCCACAGGAAGGGAGGTAGGCAGAATGGAGGCACGGGGCGTCAGTGAAAAGGATTAGACCAGGGAAGAGAAAAGGAGAGAGGGAAGGCTGATGACAGCTACAGACATAAAGACACTGGGTGCTAAAAACCATGGGGGACGGGGACGTGGTCCTGTGTAAGGGGTGGAGGATGGGCCTAGCTAGTGCAGCGCGGGGAGGGGGCATCAGGGCCCCCGTGGGTGGCCATCCCGCAGGCTGTACCAGGGACGGGGCAGGAGGGGTGCCCAGGCGAGGCCGCAGCGCCCAAGGAAGGGCACAGGCCGATGCCCACCTAGCCCTTCCTGGGGCCCCCGCCTCCGCCCCGCCCTCTCGGCGCCCCGGCTCTCAGCCCCCCCACCCCACCCACGCGTGGCCGGGAGAGCCCTTACCTGGAACCGCTTCTTCACCCACAGCTTCTTCATGGCAGGGGGGGAGGGCCGGGCTGGGCGGCCGGAGCCAGGAGGGGACTAGGCGGGGGCGGGGGCGGAGTCGGAGGAGGAGCCGGGGGCGACCGCGGGAGCCGAGCACGAACGGGAGCCGCCTCTGCAGCCAGTCTGGGAGCCCCCGGAGCCTCCCGGGACAGGAATCGCGAGCGGAATCCGGAGCGGAATCCGGAGTGGAGAGAGCGGGCGGGCGGGCGGCAGGTGCGGGTGCGGTGCCCGGAGCCTGCTCCTGCTCCTCCCCCTGCCCCCGGGACCTCAGCCCGCGACCCTACCCCACCCCCGCTCCTGCCCCGCATCTCACCTGCCTCTCCTCTCTTCCCAGGGCGGCCCCAACGCAAGTCCCACCCTTTCCAACCGAAGCCACCACAGACCCCTGCGCACCGCCCCCCCCAACTAAGGCCCCTCCCAAACCAAGGGGAAAGGCTTACTTGTCCCCTTGGAGCAGATGGGGAAACTGAGGCACAGGAAAGGAAAGGCATTGGCTGAGGGTCACCAGCATATAGCGCACGAGGCTCGATGTGGCCTGAACCTCACCCCCTAGTTCCAAGGCTAGGCAGAGCCAAGCGCAGGCAGGGCCCCTAGCTCACCTGGCCTTTATACCCTGCAGTCCAAGCAAGCCATACAAAGAGGAAGCATCCTCCTGCTTGTCCCAGGATCTAAGCAGCAAGGAGTTGGTCAAACATGGAATACAGTCCTTGCACTCCCTACCTCCTAGGATGTTTGTGAGCAAAGTACTTTGTAAACCCCAAAATGCTATAGTAATGTGGATTATCAATTTCATTATCATCTTTGCTCAGGCCAGCCTGGGACAGTGCATCTGGCCTGGGAATCTGCACCTCTGGGTCATAGTGCAGCATCCATCCTCCTAGAATGCCTCAGCAGAAAAAGTAGTCAGGCCAAGCATATCTAGAAGCCCCAGAACTGTCCTCCCAGCCTAGATGAAGCCTGTGCTAAGGCTTCAGGAGCCAAGCACTGAGGCAGGCAATCAAAGCTACCCCCAAAACTGCCAGAGGTGTTTGAATGAATAGCAGAGAAGATGCAACAGCTCCCACTAATATTCCTTGCAAGCACAGTCATGCCATGCCATACAACCTCCTAGAACACACACACACACACACACACACACACACACACACACACACACCACTGAACTTAAATCATCGTACAAATACAGGCCACAGTCCATACACTGGCTATGCCAAAATAACTATACAAATATATATTCCACATACATCACATACTTCACAGAGCACACACACACACACACACACACACACACACACACTGTACCAGTGCAGCTATAAAAATAAGAAGTGTGGCTTAGAATGTAGCGAGACCAATTTCACAAGCTACCCTTGGAAACCAGTCTCATCATTTTCTACATGCATGTGCATGTGCCTACATTTTTCACAAAGATTCAGAGGGTGCCAGAAACGTGCACCAGGGCATGGGTTCATAGGATCATAGACTGAGAGAGAAAAAGAACTTTTGAGGTCACCTAATCCAACCCCCTTATTTACTAGATGAGGAAACTGAGGCTCAGAGAGGTTGACTGACTTGCCCAATGTCACACACATCTAATAAAGCCACTAGTGAGTGACAGGACAAGAATTTGAATTTATATTCTCTGGTTCCAAACCCAGTACATGTTTCACTGTGTATACCCCAGGTTCAAAGAGGGCACAACTGCCCACACTAGTACCTATCAAAGACACATGGAAGCAAAAGCATTGGTACACACCCACCTAGACACACTCACCCTCCCATAGATAGGGGAATGGAGTGGGGAAAGAGGTAACCTGAGCCCCTGTGCCCCAAGAGAATCCTAAGGGCTGGCACATTCCATGTCAAAAATAGCTATTGGGCAGCAGGTGTGAGTGGCAGGACAGCTGGGCCCCACAGAGTCCCAGAGCTGCCTCACCCCAATAGGCTGTGCCCCTGCCTCCTACCCTAGGAGCTACCCCTCACTTCAGCCTTCTGTCCCTTCCTAGCTCTGCCTTGTACCATGCTCTCAAGTTGGGACCTACTCCAAATGGGTCTTTACCCACACAGCTGTCTTCCCTAATGACAGTTCTCACTACCAAGTGGAGCTCTGGTAGCTATTCCATTTCACTCCCAGCCTACCAATCTGAGCACTCATTGGATCCCTCTGAACCCCAGAATCCAGAGGGACACAACAATATATTTTCCTATGCCCCATCTTTCCTCCTTACCTCCCCCCTCACTTGACTCCTTTCCTTCTTTCAAAAGGTTCCCTCCCTTCATTTCCCCTTTCTGTCATTTCCACCCCCTCTGATTCTTTCTCCTTGCGTATCTCTCCTTCATACTCTGTTCATCCCTAAGATTTTTATGTAGATTTAGGGTACTTCATCTTTATACAGCTTCACCATCTAGCCCTTCAGCCTCTTTTCCTTTCTTACTCAGTACCTCCTCCTGAAGAGGATTGAGGGAATAGG